TTTCTTTCCTCCTCTTCCTTGTCTTCTTCCCCTGCCTCCTCCTTTCCCTCCACCTCATTCATTTTCTCTTACAAGTGAAATAAGAGAAGAATCCATTGTGCTTTATTTCTATGACTGTGGACACCAGACATTACCCTGGGATTTCTTCTGCCAGTTCACCTTTTTTGACCTCTGGTTGCTTCCCTAAGGAGCTGTGCCAGGAACACTAATGAAACTGGCATTGAGAAGTTCTGAAGGTCAGGAGCTACATGGGTTGTTAGAATGTGCTGGATCTTAGTGCAGGATCCTGGAGAGAGACCCCTGGTCTATGGTGGCTGCTTTCATTAAAGCTCTGATTACCTTACTTCATCCTCACACCCCAACCCCCAAGATGATAATTCAAGGAGAAGAAAAGGAAATGGAGAAGCACAGACTTAGGCACCCTGGTAATCCATAAATGTCCACTTCTAATAATTCTGAAGTTTGAGCTGAAATTCAGGGGCCTTTGAAGCTTCTCCATTCCTTCAGGGCTTCTTGGTCGAAAGATCAAAGGATGGCACTGTAATCCTGCAGCTTCTTTTAGTCATGCTCCTAGAATCCCAACATACCTTTTATCTCTGTTCCAGTCTTGGGAAAAGGTAGAGCCCCTAAGAAATTGTCCTGCCCTGGGTGGGCTAATCTCTGGATCCCCTCCCCAGTTTTCAGTTCCACATTAATATTTCTGGTATGTTTTGGGATCAAATTATGCTAAATCCAAGGAGGCACTTTACCATCTTCAAGTACTTTACCATCTTCAGGTTCACATATTGAAATGTAAACACTGTCATCAGGTAGCCCTGTGTCCCAGACATAGTATCTCTGAAATTCCAAGTCCTGCATGGTTGGGGGAAGGGTGAGATAAAACTTCTGCAAGGACCGTGTTGGAGGTCTTGTTCACAGTTGGGAGTTTCCTGAAGGTCTGGAGTCAGGGTCTCCTTGTTCATAGTGATGTAGGCCTGTACTAGTCTGACTGGGGACTTTTAGGTTCTCAACATTCCTACCTGTGGTCTCTTTCTCAACTGTTCTAAACTAGGGATTGAGAAGCTATAATGGAGGGAACTCAGTTTGGAAGTGTTGAGAAGTTTGGAGAGTTCTGCTTCTGATAGGTAGGAACCATAAAGAACCCATACATTCGGTCTTTAAACTGTTGTCTGAGAGCCTGTCCTTCTTCCCCAGGATGATTCAATGGAAAGGGAGCTCCCGGATCTGCGAGCCCAAGTATCTAAACAGGAAAAGCTCCTTGAGAGCACGGCTGAGCGTCTGAGGACTGCCAACCAGCAGGAGAACATGGAGCAGTTCATTGTCAGCCAGCGTAGGTGCCCCTGAGCTGTGGAGCAGCAGAGAAATGGGGTGGTCTTGCAGATGCCCCACTTGTGCTGCAGATGAACAGTGACCACAGAGGCACTGGAATGTTGGGAGGGGAGAGTCTGATGCACTGGGCCCAAACCTCCTGTGCCATGAGATATTGTGGGTGCAGAGGGAGGGGAGGAAGGGGTCAGCAAGTGGCCATGATAGAGGGGTGAGAAGAAAATGCTCTAGAAATGCATGCCCAGCAAGTAGGGTCCAGTTAGTAATTCCTGCTTGCGGGGGGGGCTCTTTTGTTGTTTCAGTGAGTGACCCTGACCTCCTTTGACCTTCAAGGAGATATCTGGTCCACTACACAGGTCTTACCTCCTGCATAGCCTCCTCCTAAGATTCCATCCCTTCACCCTCCTGCCCCCTCAGCTCCCTCCTCTGCCCTTGCTCTCCCCTTGTCACCATCTCTCCTCTTTAGCCCAATTTTCTCTCCTTGATGTCAGTCAAGCAAGGAGCCAGGAGAAATGCAGTTCAGTTGGTCCTTGAGGGAAGAAACTTTCAAAGTCTGTCTGTGAGTTAGTTGTTTACCAAGAGATCTTGAGGCCATTTATGCATTCTGGACTTTCCTGAACTACTTTATGAAAACCAAATAAGGCATAACATTATAAATTGACTTTAATGCACAAAATTAGGTTAAGAACAGCAGTTTTGTTTTGACATCTCATTTTCTTTAAAAAAATAAAGGTAGATCCACTTGGTCTCCTTGATATAAAAGAAAAGTTAATAAAAACTGAACATTAAGGGAAAATTTTTAAAAATATATATACCAGATATCCTCTACATTTACATAAATGCTGTGCTAATAATTCCCTAGAAATCTTTTGAAGAAAAACTTGATGCGTTTTTTTTTTTAAATCAGAAATTAAACCTTTAAACTTAKATGGTAAACATCAGAGCAGTTGAGCCTTCTAGGAATGTTCCTATATTGTACCCTGAGAGCCTTGATAGCCATAGTGTGATCAAGGATGGGCCAAGTTTTAGGGCGCTCTTGTTTTCTAATTCCCTTTGGTTCTTCTCTGAGGATTGCTTTCTTTCCTGAGCCTCTTTAGCACAACTCTTAGAGGATTACCCTGTACAGCCTCCTCCTGTCCCTGCCAAGTTAACCCTGCAGCCTCCAGTTCCTGCTGGCTCCCTGCAGTGTGCAGGCCACCCTCTCTTCTTCCTGATGTCTGGTCTCTAAGTCCATGCTTGTCATTAACTGGTTGTATGACTTTGGCTGGCCCCTTTGTCTCTGTGAGCTACTACCCCTCTTCTGCTAAAGGTGAGCCTAGACTCAGATGATCTCTGAGGTCCCTGCCAATTTGACTTCTTCTTAAGAAAACTTTAAAAAAACTGAGACACACACTTAACAGGGGAACTTTCCCCAATATGTCCTCTTCAATACAGGCTGTTTCTACATGTGCATGTTTCATGCTTCATCCTTCTTTCCCTGGAAGATGACAAAGGCCTTTGTTTCCCTTCAGACCACATAACTTGTAGCATGAACTGTTTAATAAAAGGAAAGTAGTAGGATCTGGCCATACGGCATGCAGTAGGGCTGTGGCTGGGGCACTAGGGATTTGGGTGCACAGGGAGGCTTATCCTCTAAGCTGGAACCTGGAATCTTCTCCAGACCCAGTGCATCCACTTGGCTCACCCTCTTAACCACCTCCCACCATGTTTCTGCCTTCCTGCATGCTTTGCCCTTATTCCAGCCTCTGGGTTTCATCAGCAGTGTCTGACAGTTCCATCTGAAAAGGATTCTTTTATGTTTGCTTGCAGGTGAAATCCTTAAGGGCCCTGCTGTGTGTTCCAGCCTTAAGATCCTTGCCTTCCAGGAGCCACACAAGAATCAAAGCCACCACAGGTCCCTTACACATGAGGAAGCCTAGGCCTACCCGCTTCCCCACATCTGAACAACTGTCTATCTGCTAAGGAGCATCTGGGCCATATTCCTTCAAAGCTGGTGCAGGTCTGAAGAGGTGATCAGAGATGTCTCCTACTAGCCTAGGCAGAAAGGCAGAATGACTCCCTGGAAGTGATGGAACACCAGTAGTCAAATAGCACCAGGCCCAGCTCTAGGCAAAGTGCACCTAAGAGTGCATAGTAAACCCTGTGACACTGCTTCTGAGCTGCCTCAGTGGCACAGCATCTGCCACAGCACAGTTCTCACCTCAGCAGCTCTCCTCAGAAGATCAGCTTGGGGGAAATGGTTGCCTCCTACACAGGGGTCATGTGGTCCCAATGTGGAGCTCCTTGGCAGTTCTAGAAGCACCCTAGTGAGCAGCAGGGCACTTCTGGACAGTGTCAGTGGAACTCATCTAGCACCTTTCACAGATCCACACCTCACCAGGTAGCAACTCTTGGCCAAGCCAGGCTGGACTTTGCCCTGCACCATCAGGTCTGACCTCTTAGAGTCCATGTGGGGAAGAAAATTGATGACTTGCTAAGAGGTCCTCTCATTTATAGCCTAGCACAATCTGCTTCCTTTATTAACTCATTCTCCAAATTTTACTGCCCCCACTCCTCCACATTAAGTATGCTGTGCCATTTTGCTAACCTAACATCCCTCAGGGGAATATGAGACTGATGTCCACACCACGCCTATGCAAAGTCTTGCATAGGGCAGCCTCTACTTGTTTCTTAGTGGTGTGGGCCAGGCCCCAATTTTACTGAAGCCTTCTTTGTGTCTTCAGGGTGTTCCTAGGATGTGAGTAGGTGTGTATAAATGTAAGATAGAGATTTATTTATGTTGCTGTAGCCATACGTTGAAGACCAACATACTCAGTAACAGTCTTTCGGTGGCTTTTTTTTTAAAGCAAAATTTGTATAAATAGTTTCTTTTTGTTGGCTTTGTTTCCCATTTCTACACCAGTCCCTAGAACAAGTGTTAAGAATAGAAAGTAAAATAAGTCAAACCCAAAAAACCAAAGACTGGATCTTTTCTATGATAAGTGGATGCTGATCCATAAAGTGGGGTGGGGGATGAAGGAACTTTGGATTGGGCAGAGGGGAGGGAGGGAAGGAGGGGAAGGATGATGGACTGAGACAGACTTTAATACCCTATATACCGTATGACTACACTACTGGTTTGACTCTGCACCATGTTCATCCAGAGGAAGGAGTAGTTGTGTACAATACTGTTATGAATAACTAATTAGAACAAATTTAAAAATTAAAATTAAAAAGACATACATTTTTAAAGAATAGAAAAAAACTGTCATGAAGAAATTCATTAGCTAATTCTGAAGTTTAAAAAAATATAATTTTCCCTCTTTGCCATTGTGCAAAAATCTCTAAGGTAAGACAGAGTAATTCTTAAATTTGATGTGCCTTTACAGTTTTCACAGGGAAGGGCATATTTTACTAGTTCTGCAGCATTGAAACTCAGGAGTCAGGATGGCAATAGAGAATTAGGTTTCTTTCCATCCTGGGTTTGAGCAAGGTGGACAACATTTTCTTTGACAAGTCTACATCTTTGGTGACTGAGAGGCTTGGAAAGCTTTTAGGAAAACAGAGAGCACAGTGGGGGAAAAAGGCAGGAAATATCCAAGTGTGTATTTAGCTAGACTGCATTAATCAGAAACCTTTCTCAGTGCATGCTCCCCTTTGCAGTGCCCATGAGGGCCAGGCAGTCCATCAGCCTCCACCCTCAACATAAAAAAGATCAAAATTAAAAAGAATTTGAAGATTTTCATTTCAAAGGGGGTCTGTTTCACAGTCAGCCGTGGGGGCTGTGGGACTGACTCCCTGGGCAGCAAAATCAAGTGCATTAGTGGGTGTGGGACTGTAATCTAGGATTTGCATTTTTATGTAAGTATCCCAGGTGATACTGCTGCAGACACAGTTTAACACACTGATGATTCTGATACAGGTGGGCTGCAAACCACAGTTTAACCTATATTGTGCATGTCATTGAGTCACAGCAATAAATTTATTTATCAACCTTAATTTAAAATCATCATTCCATAAAGTTTGAAATAAAAATCTTAAAATAATATTTCAGAAAATTCTTGTGTCCTTTCACCTTCCAGAATTAAAATAAAGCTATTATTCTACAATTATTTCCTAGAAGTAGTTAAAAATGAACACAGTGACAAAACAAAAACTGTATTCATTATCAACGAAGCCACCACCATTAGCAGCAGCAATAACAAAAGACCCTTCAATAGACCTCCTTGGATAGAGACATGGCCACTCCCTGTGAGGAGATGTGAAGTCAACCTGTGCTTTATACTCAGGGGTTTTGAGTATTTGCATGAGTGATTTTGGCTTTGAAATACAGAGAAATTTGCTGGCAGAATTAGCAGGTTGGAAACTCCTCAGACCCATTACTGAATTTAAAGGTAAAACAGTCAATGGTAAGAACATTTGGCCTGAGGTTATTGCAGCAGCCTGAAAATTTCCTCCTTTATCTCTGTGCTTCAGGGGCTGGTAGCCTTGATAAAATAATCAGTGATCACAGGACAACTCAAATATTTATACTTAGTAAGTCAGCTTACTATGTAGCAACTTTACAATGGCAACAACACATATTACCTCTTGTAAGCCTGAGAACTAGTGGATACAGTCCCCAACTCCTTTTAGAGAAAACTTTTGAAAGCTATTGTATTACCCATTTTATGGATTATAGAAAAACAGCTGTTTGAATTAATAAGTYTTTAAAAAGATGACAGCAAAATGTCCTTCAGGCAGATTCTCCAGTATATAATTTTTATAAGTATATTCTTATATTCTTTTTTGTATGTGGCAGAAACAGAACTCATTCTGTAAAAAAGAAAAAGGGGGAAACCTTTAGATTGTCTTCCAATTTTCTCTAATTCAAATAAAATCCATGGCACTCAAAGGCATTTGCTGTGGTGATGGGAAAGGAGCTTCTCAAGCTCATACGTTTGTGTCTCTGAGAGATGCTCAAATCAGAATATCTGTGGTAGCCATTAAAATGCATCACTGGCATCTGCCGCTTCAGGAAGCCTAGGTGGCCAGCAACCCCAGCTGCTATGCTCTAAATCCGGGACTTGCTGGCATGATCTCAGGCTCTGTACTATCCCATGAGGAAAGCTTCTACCTTTCCCTCCCAATAGAACACCACAGATGAATTATGAGGATGTAGAAACTGTTTTCCTGATGAAACTCAGACTTTTCTTTTTCCACAGTCTGTTTCACTTCTGCATATTAACTTGTTTTATACAAAAAACAATAATAAATCTTTAAACTCCCATGAATCTGACTTGTGATGAATCCTACTGCATGATACAAAGACCCTTTTGTTTGTTAATTCTAAAGCATGTAAACCCCTCTTCCACAGGATGAATCCTGGTACTGATAACCAGGCCTTAGAATAAGATCTAGGCTGGACTAGCTCTCCTAAAGCTTAAACCAAACTATGATATATCCCACAGGGGAGATGGGTTTTTGGTTGAGTCTTGCCAAATTAAAAGGCCCTGGGAAATACTTCAGGATTTACAAGGATTCCCCCTAATGGAGCATAAACCACGTCTGCACAAGTCCAGAGTAATCAGTAAGTTAACCATCCACTGGAGTAAATCAATCGGGTTAGCTAAATTGACAACCACAGAGAAATAAGTAGTGCCACTAAGGACTATGCACTCCTTTTCAAATACACATAGAGCATTCATTAAGATAGAACATCAAATAAATGGAACATGAAAGAAATATAAAGGATGTATGAGCATTTCTGTTTTGGACACATGCAACACTTCGCTAGCTATTTTGAAAAATATAAATACCTACTGTAAGCTATAGTCTCTTTAACATGCTAGATAACATTAGATCCACTCCCCCTCTTCTCTTCCTACTGTATTCTGCTCATTGCATGCACTCTATCCTCTCTAACCTTCTTGGCTGCTATGATCTGTATCTGCTCTCTACTTCTAGATCAACTTTTTTAACGTACACGTGTGTGAGAATAACCAGTATTTGTCTTTCCGTTCCTATTTCATGAAATATCCTGTTCCCATGGACGTTGCTGCAAATGGCAGTTTTTCATTCTTTTTATGGCTGAAAAATATTATCTTGTATATGTACACCACATTTTCAGAATCCATTCATAATAGATGGGCACATAAGGGTTTTTTTGCATATTTTGACTTCTGTGACTACTTCCACAATAAATATGGGTGTGCTGGTATCTCTTTGATATATACAGAGTAGTGAGATGGATGGATCATATGATAGTGCTATTTTCAGGTTTTAAAAATATTCTATATTATTCTCCATAATGACTGACTTATTTATATTCCCATCAACACTGTAAAGTTGCTCTTTCTCTACATCCTCACCAATATTATTTTTTGTCTTGCAATACCTTGTTCTTTCTACTACAGCACAAATTCCAGGTTGTTGTTGTTGTTGTTTATTTGTTTGGTTTTTGGTACCAGGGATTTAACTCAGAGGCACTTGGCCAGCGAGCCACATCCCCAGCCCTATTTTGTATTTTATTTAGAGTCAGGGTCTCATTGAGTTGCTTAGCAGAAGTTGTCTTTGAACTCATGATCGTCCTGCTTCAGCCTCCTAAGCCATTGAGATTACAGGCATGCACCTGGGTTTTTGTCTGTCCCCTTCTTACTGAAGTGAGACTATCCCTCATTGTAATTTTGATATCCATTTCCCTAATATTAGTAATGCTGAGCATTTTGGCATATAGTCAGTGACCATTACCCACCAAAAAGAATAGTATATCTTTTTTTTTTGAGAAATATCAGATCTTTTACCCATTTCAAATCAGAGTATTTGTTTTATTTTATGTTGAAATTCTGAATTCTTTATGTATTCTGAATAGATAAATGAATAGTTTGAAAACATTTCCTCTACATCTGTAGAATGTTTACTCTGTTCTTTCCTCTGCTGTGCAGAAGCATTTTAGTATAAT